TGCTACTGCTCTTCCTTCCTTCCTTCCTTCCTTCCTTCCTTCCTTCCTTCCTTCCTTCCTTCCTTTCTTCCTTCCTTCCTTTCTTCCTTCCTTCCTTCCTTCCTTCCTGCCTTTTTTGTTTCCTTCCTGCCTTTTGGGTATTTTGCTGCCCATAATGGAGAGAACAGAAGGTGCTCCCCAACCATCTCCTCCTCTTCCTCCTCCTCCTTTTTCTCCTCCTCTTCTTCGTCTTCTTCTCTTCTCCTCCTCTTCCTTCTCTCCTCCTCTTCCTCCTCCTCCTCCTTCTCCTCTTCTTCTCTCCTCCTCCTCCTCTTCCTTCTCCTCTGCCTTTCTCCTCCTCCTCTTCCTTCTCCACATCTTCCTCCTTCTCCTCCTCCTCCTCCCCCTTTCTCCTCCTCCCCTTCTCCTCCTCTTCTCCTCCTCTTCCTCTTCTTCCCTTCTCCTCTTCTTTCTCCTCCTCCTCTCCTCTTCCTTCTCCCGTCTTTCTCCTCCTCTTCTTCTCCTCCGCCTTTCTTCTCCTTTCTCCTCTTCTTCTCTCCTCCTCTTCTTCTCTCCTCTTCCTCTTCTTCCTCCTCCTTCTCCTCTGCCTTTCTCCTCCTCCTCTTCCTTCTCTCCTCCTTCTTCTCTCCTCCTCCTCTTCCTTCTCCTCCTCCTCTTCCTTCTCCTCCACATCTTCCTCCTTCTCCTCCTCCTCCCCTTTCTCCTCCTCTTCCTCATCTTATCTCTTCCTCCTCTTCTTCTCTTCTCCTCTTCTTTCTGCTCCTCCTCTTCTTCTCTCCTCTTCCTTCTCCCGTCTTTCTTCTCCTCCGCCTCTTTCTTCTCCTCTTTCTCCTCTTCTTCTCTCCTCCTCCTCCTCTTCCTCCATCATTGTCCAGAAGGACAAGCAGAATAGAGGTCCAATGTGGGGTGAGAACCAGGTATTTTTGTGACAATTCCTGTGCTGGATAATAGCCTTCTGGGATGTGGAAGGAGAGAATACCTCCAAGGCCCCTTTCAGCTCTCTCTCGGAAGCAAGGACGGATAAGGCGAAGAAAAGTGACTTTCAGCTTGCAGGACCAGGAAGAATTAAATGGGGTGGGCAGAGTACATCCTAGTCAAGGGAGTCCTGAGTTCAAATCCTTTTTCCATCTCCCCAAGTTTTCAGGAAGTTGGACATCTGTCTTTTAAACTCAGTTTAGGTTTGAAATGAATAACAGAATAGCCGAGTGAGAAGGGACCTTGGAGGTCTTCTAGTCCAACCCCCTCCTCAAGCAGGAGACCATTTTAGAGAAATATATACACGAATCTCTCTCTCTCTCTCTCTCTCCTCCCTACATGGTGGAAGAGAGGGAGATGAGGCAAATTGCAATGGTAAACTACCCTACAGGTGATATTTGCCTTCTCCTGCAGGCTGCAGCTTGACTCACTTGCTCGAGCTGCGCGGTTCTTGGCTCACTTTCTCCTATCCCAGGGCCGGAAGAGCCCAGCATTGTAGCAAAACTCTTCACGGAGCAAAGGGCCTAACTCACATATATATTTTTTTCCAGCCTCAAATATCCCAGGCTGAATTACTTGACTCAGTCAGGGGATCTGTTCAGAAAAAGGCCCGTTCGATTTTTCTTTTTTTCCTTTTAATTAAAAATGTCTATCAATAGCCCCTGGGCTCTCCCCCTCTCCTAAGTCCGTTTTAATGGCAGCGACCTATTAAATCGGCTTAATCAGGAAATCCAGCATCAGACAGTCTAATCTGGACCTCGGCGTGTGCTTTCATCTCTCCTTAATCTCCTTGTGTATCGAGACTTAATGCTTTGTGATCCCTAATCAGGTCGCTCTAATCTCATTTGCACATATGCATATTTTAAGCCGCTGTCTGCTTAGCAGGCAACACGCCTGTCTCCATCTGCAAATGCGGCCTGGCAGCCAATTTGCAGGCCCTTCTTCCCCAACCTGGCGCCCACCCAAATTTTAGCAAAAGGAACAGAGGAGAAGGAAAAAAAAAAGCAGAATTTGTGTTTCTTTCTTTCATAGGAAAAAAATGGCTGCTGGGGAATTCTGGGAGTTGAAGTCCACACCTCATAAAGAGACATTTGAGTCTGAACCCTCTGTAAACTCATAAAAAGAGGTTGCAAGTTTCTTTTTTTATTTTTTGGCCGTTCAGAACTTATTACCAATAAATTCCACTGAATTTATAAGATTGGCTAAACGGAGAGAGAGAGAAAAGTAGAATTCGCGTTTCTTTCTTTCACAGAAAAAAAATGGCTGCTGAGGAATTCTGGGAGTTGAAGTCCACACCTCATAAAGAGACATTTGAGTCTGAATCCTGTGTAAATTCATAAAAAGAGGTTTCAAGTCTCTTTTTTTTCCCAGCTATTCGGAATTTGCTACCAACAAATCCCATTGAATTTATAAGATTGGCTAAACAGACAGAGAGAAAAAAGCAGAATTCGCATTTCTTTCTTTCACAGAAAAAAAAAATGGCTGCTGGGGCATTCTGGGAGTTGAAGTCCACACCTCATAAAGAGAAAATTGAGTCTGAACCCTGTGTAAACTCATAAAAAGAGGTTGCAAGTTTCTTTTTTTTTGTCTGTTCGGAATTTGTTACCAACAAATCCCATTGAATTTATTGCCAGGCGTCAACTTTTATCCAGGCAGTCCTCGACTTATGACCACAATGGAGGCCAAAATTTCTATTGCTAAGTAAGACATTTGTTAAGGGAGTTTTGCCCAGTTTTACAACTTTTCTTGCCACAGTTGTTAAGTGAATTGCTGCAGTTGTTATAACTTAGTAACATGGTTGTTAAATGAATCTGGGTTTACCAGGACGTTTTATCCCGTTTTATGACCTTTCTTGTCACAGTTGTTAAGTGAATCGCTGCAGTTGTTATAACTTAGTAACCCGGTTGTTAAGTGAATCTGCCTTCCCCATTGACTTTGCTGGTCAGAAGGTCGCAAAAGGGCGTCACGTGACCCTGGGCCACTGCGATGGTCATAAATACGAGTCAGTTGCCATGCAGCCGGATTTTGGATCACGTGACCACGGGGATGCTGCAAAGGTCGTAAGTGTGAAAAATGGTCATAAGTCGCTTTTGTCAGTGCCGTTGTAACTTTGAACGGTCACTAAATGAAATTTTCTAAGTCGATGACTACCTGTATGTAGTAAAGGAGGAGGGGGTTCTCCTTTTTTCCAATGTACAGCTAGTCCTCGACTTTCAACAGTTCATTTAGTGACCGTTCAAAGTTACAACGGTACTGGAAAAAGTGACTTATGATCATTTTTCACACTTACGACCGTTGCAGCATCTCCCATGGTCACGTGATCCAAATCCAGGCCTGGCAACTGACTCATATTTACGACGGTTGCAGCGTCCCGGGGTCACGTGATCCCCTTTTGCGACCTTCTGACAAGCAAAGTCCATGGGGAACTCAGATTCGCTTAACGACCGGGTTAACGATTTAACCACGGCGGCGATTCGCTTAACAACTGTGGCAAGAAAGGTCGTAAAACGGGGCAAAATTCACTTAACAAACGTCTCGCTTAGCAACAGAAATTTTTAGGGCTCAGTTGTGGTCGTAAGTCGAGGCCCACCTGAATGTAGTTCTCTTTTTAACCAACATATTTTGCTGCGTATCCTGCTTGTAATAACAAGTAAAGCAGGATTAAGTCGGTTATCTTGCTTGACTGACCAGGTACACTGCTCCTGGACAGGGAGGCTGGATTGAATTATCATGGCTAAAATTCACCAGAATCCCCTCTTGGGTACACCCATCGGAAGCAAAAGAGGCCCGTTTTGTCTAGAGGTTAAGGCACCAGTCTAGAAACCAGGAGACTGTGAGTTCTAATCCCTGCTGAAGTATGAAAGCTCGTTGGGTAATATGGGGCCAATCACCAGTTGGTGAGTTCTAGTCCCGCCTTAGGCACAAAAGCCAGCTGGGTGACTTTGGGCCAATCACCAGAAGATGGTGAGTTCTAGTCCCACCTTATATATCAGTGGTTCTCAACCTGTGGGTCGGGACCCCATTTGGGGTCGATCGACCATTTCACGGGGGTCGCCAAGCAAGGCTGTCCGCCATTTTTTTTGTCCGCCATTTTTTTTGTCCGCCATTTTTTTTGTCCGCCATTTTTTCCCCCTTTTCCGGCAGGTGCCTTACCTCCCTTGAGCTGGGCCAGCTGGTGGTCGGCCTGCTCCGTCTCTGCCGCTTGCCAGCTACGCCTCGGCTGGCGCAGGGGGCGGAACCACGCATGCGTGGCGCTCCCGGGCAGGGAAAGTCCTCGACTTACGACCGGTTTAGTCCTCGACTTACGAACGGTTTAGTCCTCGACTTACGACCGGTTGGGGTGACGGCATTAAAAAGGTTGAGAACCACTGTTATATATGAAAGCCAGCTAGGTGACTTTGGGCCAATCACCAGGAGATGGTGAGTTCTAGTCTTGCCTTAAATATGAAAGTTGGCCGGATGACTTTGGGCCAATCACCAGGAGATGGCGAGTTCTAGTCCCGCCTTAGGCCTGAAAGCCAGCTGGGTGACTTTGGGCCAATCACCAGGAGACGATGAGTTCTAGTTCCACCTTACACATGAAAGCCAGCTGGGTGATTTTGGTCCAATCCCCAGAAGATGGTGAGTTCTAGTCCCGCCTTAGGCATGAAAGCCAGCTGAGTGACTTCAGGCCAATCACTAGGAGACGGTGAGTTCTAGTCCTGTCTTAGCCATGAAAGCCAGCTGGGTAACTTTGGTCCAATCACTAGGAGGCAGTGAGTTTTAGTACCACCTTAGGCATGAAAGCCAGCACCCACTGAGACCCGGTTAGGGGTCCTCTGCCACTCAAGATCAAGGCGGAATCCGTGTTTTAATTTATTCGGTTGTCGACAAAGTAGTAAAAATAAGATGGAAACGCTTCCCCCGTTACGACTATATGTCTCGCGTCCTCTACCCCCTCTCTAAAGGGGTCCCGGAAAATCCAGACCCCCATCCACACGCCCCCCCCCCGTCTCAGAGAGCAGGGCATCCGGTCTTCGAAGGAGTTACTCCTCGTACAAACCTTTCGGCTGGGGAAGAAAGGAACAAAAGTGAGAAAGGAAAGAAGGAAACAACTGGGTTGGGTTAGGGGTAGGGGTAGGAGAAGGGGAAGGGTAGGCTATGGTAAAAGTTAGTAGGATTAGGGTTAGGGTTATGCATAGCGATAGGGGATAGGGATAGGGATAGGTTTAGAGTTAGGAGTAGGGTTATGCTTAAAGTTAGGTTAAGGGTAGGGGTAGAGTTAGGGGTAGGCATGGGGTTAAGAGTAGGGGTAGAGTTAGGAATAGGGGTAGGTGTAGGGTTAAGGTTAGTAGAGTTAAGAGTAGGGTTAAGTTTAAGGGTAAGGGTAGGGGTAAGGGTAAGGGTAGGAGTAGGGTTAAAGGTAGCGGTAGGGGTAGAGTTAGGCATAGGAATAGGGTTACGGTTAGGGATAGAGTAGTGAATAGGGTTAAGGTTAGGGGTAGGCATAGGGTAGGAGTAGGGTTAAGGGTAGGAGTCGGGATAGGAATAGGGTTAAGGTTAGGCATAGAGGTACAGTTAGGAGTAGGGTTAAGGTTAGAGATGGGGTACGGGTAGAGGTAGAGGTAGAGATAGGGGTAGGGCTAGGTTTAGGGGTAGAGTAATGGATAGGGTTAGGGTTAAAGTTAGGAGTAGAATTAAGGTAAGGAGTAGGAATAGGGATAGGGTTAGGGTTAGGCTTAAGGGGCAGCTCCTCACCTTCACCCCAATATCACGACTTTTGGCCCTCAACTTGTTGACCTGGGACTCAGCGATGTCCGCCCGCTCCTCGGCTTCGTCCAACTCGTGCTGAACCTTCCGGAATTTGCCCAAGTTGCTGTTGGCTTGTTCCTCCTGAGGGGAACCGAGAAGGGAGGCCTTGAAAATTATGGAGAGCTTTTGCCTCTGATGAGCAGCCACTACTACCGGTATGTCCTCCAGCCAGGATCCAATTCCCATTCAAAATGTTTGGCACACTCTAAGCCAGGGGTCTTCAAACTTGGCCCTATTATGACTGGTGGACTTCAACTCCCAGAATTCCTCAGCCAGGCATGCCTGGCTGAGGAATTCTGGGAGTTGAAGTCCACAAGTCATCAAAGGGCCAAGTTTGAAGACCCCTGCTCTAAGTAGTCCTCGACTTACGGGACAAACAAATTGTCGGCAAACTTCAATGGTTCCACGACTTTTATATATAAAAAAAATAACTTTTCAAAATATTTTCAATGTTATATTTGGGGTTTTGGTTGGGTGGGATTTGGGGGGGAGGCAGGGGTGAAGGGTCTCGACTTATGTCCGAATGTTTATATTATTAGTATTAGATTGATTGTAATTAGTTGATATATAATAACCAAGTCCATAATGCGCTTTAATTCCTCTTTAACATAAATATAATAATAATTAAAACATAAACAAATTAGTATCCTAATTATTAAACAATAGAATATTGTTAAACAATACTAATACTAAAAATAATAATAATATCATATAATTAAAACTAATAAAATTTCACTATAATAAACTATTAATACTAATACTCTAAAATTTACTCATAGGCTAAATGGAACTTTTTAGTCCCATATTTATTCTGAATATCCATCTTCTCCAAACCGAAATGTATCTTTCTTGTGAATGATCCTTCAATTAGGCAGAAATCTTAGCCATTTCTGCTAAGGTGCTGAAAATATTGACTTATGACCAGTCCTCGCACTTATGACCAGTCCTCGCACTTATCACCATCACATGTTTTTTTTTAATTTGGGCACTTGGCTATTGACATGCAGTATATTTATGAATGTCCATAAGCACTTACAAAATGAATTTGGGTTATAAAATTATAATTTTTTTGTCTGAAATGGTAGGTTTCCTTCCTGAAAAGGGGGTTGGACTAGAAGACCTCCAAGGTCCCTTCCAACTCTGTTATTCTATTCTATTCTATTCTATTCTATTCTATTCTATTCTATTCTATTCTATTCTGTATTTTCTATTCTATTCTATTCTATTCTATTCTATTCTATTCTATTCTATTCTATTCTATTCTATTCTATTCTATTCTATTCTATTCTATTCTCAATTTACAACCATTTGTTCAAAGTTATAACTGGGCTTTTGATTGGTTCTCACATTTACAAAAAGTGCCTTTTGATTGGGTCTCGTATTTACAACTCTCTCAGTGTCCCTGTGTCACGTGATCAAAATTTGAGTATGTGGCACAGAGCAGATCACGTGGTCCCCATTTATGATCGTCCCACAAGGCTTCTGACAAGAAAAATCGATGGATTCGCATAACAACCGTGTGTTTTCCTCAATGACCGCATCAAAAAAGCTCCTCAAATTGGGAGTGACTCGCTTAACGACCTCATCGTATGGGGTCGTAAGTCGAGGACCATCTGTACTGTTGTTGAGATGCTGAGAGAGAAGGTTTGGACGAGGGTCCCAACTGGTCTCACCATGATTGAGGTGACCATCCATGTTCTCCAGCTCAGCATCCCGAGATGCACTAAACTAGGATGAGTGACAAACCAGGATTATCCCAAGAAGAACAGAAAGATGGATGCTACTCACCGCCTCCTCTGCTTGTCTCTTATAAGCTTTAACCTTCAATTGAAGCTTGTCAACCAGGTCTTGGAGGCGGATCAAGTTCTTACGATCCTCCTCCGTCTACAGGGCCGAGGAACCGGAAAAGAATGCGACAGAGAGATCAGGGTTTATTTGGCTGCAGCAAAAAGTTGGTTTATACCACTGAGTTTAAATAAGATCACCTCCTGGCTTGCATCAGGAGCTCTTAATTATGTGGAGGCATTTGTGAAATTGAATTTTAAAAAAATGGTGTTTTTTAGGAAATCCTTCTCTAAACCATGGTTACATTCTAGCTTAGATGTGGAAATATTGACATGTTCCAAATCTAGAGCAGTGTTTCTCAAACTGGACCACTTTAAGAAGTGGCTGGGGAATTCTGGGAGTTGACGTCCACCCATCTTAAAGTAGCCAAGGCTGGCTGGGGAATTCTGGGAGTTGACGTCCACCCATCTTAAAGTAGCCAAGGCTGGCTGGGGAATTCTGGGAATTGAAGTCCACCCATCTTAAGGTAGCCAAGGCTGGCTGGGGAATTCTGGGAGTTGACGTCCACCCATCTTAAAGTAGGCAAGGTGGAGAAACACCATTCTAGGGTTTTTGGGGTTTTTTTTTGCCTCATGGAATTTGCTTTGGATGTACAAAATGGCATCTTTTATAAGATTCCGGGAAACAATGGGGTTCAATCCATCCACACACACCCCCAAATTCCTCACCCAACCCGTTTTAGAGGCGTGGCCCAAAACCTGTTGAAGTCAATCAATCCACCCATCCATACGAAGGCTTGGCTCCAGAACCCAGGTTGTCTCAGTCAGGTTAACCTGCGTCCCCCTCACCTGGTAGGTGAGCTCCTTGATGCGTCTCTCGCACTTGCGCATGCCCTTGACGTTCTCCACGTTGCGTTTCTGCTCCCCTTCCAGCTCGTTCTCCAGCTCCCGCACTCGGGCCTCCAGTTTCTGAAGCTGCTTCTTGCCGCCCTTCAGGGCCAGCTGCTCCGCCTCGTCCAGGCGCATCTGGAGGTCCTTGATGGTCTGCTCCATGTTCTTCTTCATCCTCTCCAGGTGGGCGCTGGTGTCCTGCTCCTTCTTCAGCTCCTCCGCCATCATGGCCGCCTGCCCCGTTCAAGAGGACAAGGGAGAAAGACGTCCGTCGGACCTTACTCTTGGCGTTAATGGGGAAATTAGTCCTAAACTCACGGGCTAATTGTTCATGTCAACATTACGGGTCCTCTTTGGATGCTTCTGGTGGACCAAACCAAAGGAGGATCTGGAGATCTTATTTCAGACTTTAGATGACCATAATTGAGCCCAGAAGTATGATCGTTACTCATTGTGGTTAAGTGGATCAATTTTTCAGCTCCTCTGCCATCATGGCCACCTGCCCCGTTCAAGAGGACAATGGAAAAATAGGTCCACCTGGCAAAAGGAGATGACTTTGGGTTGGGGAGACCTCCCGTGTGTTTACTCCTTCCAAGAATTGATCCTAGACTCCATATTCTCATGAAGATTATGGTTGGGGGTCCTCTTTTGACCCAGGATGAGCCTGTCCACCGGTGGGTTGGTGGACCCAAGCAAAGGAGATCCTGTTGATGGGTCTCAATTCATGGACCTTGGATCTCCTTATTAAAAACAGGAGGAGCTATTTTGGCCTCACAGGGTTGTTATGGAGATCCTGCCCCATAGAGACCCCATGGTCAGCCTTATTTTCTTTCACGTATAACATTCCCCCTCATCCTTCCTCACAGGGTCTTCTGAACCAGCTTTGTGGGTGTGAGGAAGAGAGGTGGGCTGGAAGGTGTGTGGGGAAGAGGGACAGCAGTACCCGTACACCTTTCCTCAGGTGTAGAATTGAATTCCATCTTTATTAGCTCTTGTCTTTTCACCAACAAGCAAAGATTTTATCTCAGGTTCGTCTGTAACGCATAAACTATTCTTGGCCATGAAAGAAAGGGCTGTCTTGTGGGTTGATCTCAAAACAGGACCTACAAGATCCTTTCTGAATTAATGATAGCTGTCAAAAATAGCACGGTGTTACTTTAGTAATAATACACCCCTGTGCACAATGAAGGCATCTGTTCCAAATTAACTACTCGGGTTTCTATTATCCCATACCAAATAGAGACTGTGAGCATTGAAGTGACCAGAAGATGGCAGTAAAGAGAGACAAGGAAACGTCCCTTTGCTGCCACCTGCTGGTTGCGTGGAGAGTTGCGGCCCAGATTGGGTATAAACCATGTATAAACAAGAAACGATGCTTTCTAACTAGCCGCTCGTTGGAATTAGTGCTTTCTTGGAAAAGCAGAAGTGGATGTGCTAAAATTTCACTCACGTCTGTGATGGCTTTCTTGGCCTTCTCTTCAGCATTTCTGCATTCCTGAATGGCGTCTTCCACCTCTGTTTGCAGCTGGGAGAGGTCCGACTCCATCTTCTTTTTCTGATTGATGAGGCTGGTATTCTGGAGAAAGGAGAGGAGAGGAGGAAGAAGGAAGTAAAGAGAAGGAGAGAAGGAGAGGAAGGAAAGAGAGAAGGAAGGAGACAAGGAAGAAAGGAAGGAGAGGAGAGGAGGAAAAAGGAAGGAAAGAGAGAAGAAGAGAAGGAAAGAAGGGAGGAGGGAAAGAGAAGGAAGGAAACAAGGAAGAGAGGAGAGGAGAGCAGGAAGAAGGAAGTAAAGAGAGAAGAAGAGAAGGAAAGAAGAGGAGGGAAAGAGAAGGAAGGAAACAAGGAAGAGAGGAGAGGAGAGCAGGAATAAGGAAGTAAAGAGAGAAGAAGAGGAGGGAAAGAGAAGGAAGGAAACAAGGAAGAGAGGAGAGGAGAGCAGGAAGAAGGAAGTAGAGAGAGAAGAAGAGAAAGAAAGAAGGGAGGAGGGAAAGAGAAGGAAGGAAACAAGGAAGAGAGGAGAGGAGAGCAGGAAGAAGGAAGTAGAGAGAGAAGAAGAGAAAGAAAGAAGGAAAGAGGGAAAGAGAAGGAAGGAAACAAGGAAGAGAGGAGAGGAGAGCAGGAAGAAGGAAGTAAAGTGAGAAGAAGAGAAAGAAAGAAGGAAAGAGGGAAAGAGAAGGAAGGAAACAAGGAAGAGAGGAGAGCAGGAAGAAGGAAGTAGAGAGAGAAGAAGAGAAAGAAAGAAAGAAGGGAGGAGAGAAAGAGAAGGAAGGAAAAGGAAGAGAGGAGAGGAGAGCAGGAAGAAGGAAGTAAAGAGAGAAGAAGAGAAAGAAAGAAGGGAGGAAGGAAGGAAGGAAAGAGAAGGAACAAGGAAGAAAGGAAAGAGAGCAGAGGAGAGGAGAAAGAAGAGAAGAGAAGAGAAGAGAAGAGAAGAGAAGAGAAGAGAAGAGAAGAGAAGAGAAGAGAAGAGACGAGACAGTGAATTCTTTAATTTTGGGAAGACAAGACAGTGGAAATAATTTCATGAAAGCAGAATCACAACATCGTTCTTGGCTGCTGACCATCCATGAGGTTTAAGACCATCTTGCTTTCAGATCCCCCTTACCTGGGTGTGAAGGAGCTGGACTCTTTCACTGGTATCAATGAGTTCCTGTTCCGCCAGTTTCCGGGCCCGTTCCGTCTGCTCCACCACGGTCCGCAACTCCTCCAGCTCAGCCTGGAGCAGGTTGTTCCTTCGCTCCACGATGGCAATGTTTTCCTTGAGGTCCTCATTGACTCGGATTACGTCGTCCAACTGTATCTGAGTGTCCTAGAAAGAGGAGAAGGACAGGTGGAATGGAGGTGTGAGCAAGGGAAAGCTGAAATGGAACCCTGGTGGAGATGGAAGGAAGGAAAGAAGGAAGGAAGGAAGGAAGGAAGGAAGGAAGGAAGGAAGGAAGGAAGGAAGGAAGGAAGGAAGGGTAGATGGATGGATGGATGGGTTGATGGATGGGTGGGTGGGTAGATGGATGGGTGGGTGGATGAAGGAAGGAACAGTAAATGGTTGGATGGATGGGAAGGAAGGAAGGAAGGAAGGAAGGAAGGAAGGAAGGAAGAGTAGATGGATGGATGGATGGATGGACAGAAGGCTGGATGGATGGATAGAGGGGAGGGATGGAAGGATGGATAGATGTATAGATAGATTGATGGATGGATGGGAAGGAAGGAAGAGTAGATGGATGGATGGATGGATGGAAGGAAGGAAAGAAGGAAGGATGGAAGAAAGGATGGATGGATGGATGGGAAGGAGGGAAAGGAAGGAAGGAAGGAAGAGTAGGTTGGATGAATGGATGAGTGTAAGGATGAATGGAAGGATGGATGAAGGAATGAAGGAAAGAACAGTAGATGGATGGATGGGAAGGAAGGAAGGAAGGAAGGGAGGGAGGAAGGAAGGAAGGAAGGAAGGAAGGAAGGAAGGAAGGAAGGAAGGAAGGAAGGAAGGAAGGAAGGTCCTTCAGACCAACTTCCAGGCTGTACCTTCAGGTAGCCTTGCAAAGTTTTCACTTGCTTCTGGGCTTCAGCTGCTATGCGGTTGGCATGGCTGAGCTGGATCTCCATCTCGTTGAGGTCGCCCTCCATCTTCTTCTTGACCCTCAGGGCCTCATTGCGGCTGCGGGTCTCAGCATCCAGGGAAGCTTGAAGCGAGTCCACCGTCCTCAGATGATTCCTCTTGGCCTGCTCCATCTCCTCGTCCTTCTCGGCCAACTTGCGCTCAATTTCGGCCTTGATTTGGTTGAACTCCAGTTGGGCTCGGAGGATCTTGCCTTCTTCATGTTCCAGAGAGGCCTGGAGGGTTTGGGGTAAGGTTGGATGGAGAGAGAGATGGCAGAGAGACTCCTTAGTTCATGAGTAACCAATGTGGAGCCCATGGTACCAACAGGATCTCAGACACCAATTTGGTGCCTCCAGAAAGTTCCATATAGCTTCCGGATCATCATGGCCGCCATTTTGAGAGAAGACAATTCTTTCACAACGGCCATTTTGTCTGTACCGACCAAATTCTCGAGGTTTCCAATGGCCTAAAATATTGCTACCCCTATTTCCAACGAAGAAACTAAAATTCAGGTATCCCTCAACTTACAACAGTTTGTTTAGTGACTGTTCGAAATTACAACGGCACGGAAAAAAGTGACTTATGACCATTTTTCGCACTTATGACCGTTGCAGCATCCCTGTGGTCACGTGATCCCCTTTTGCGACCTTCTGACGAGCAAAGTCAATGGAGGAGCCAGATTCACTTAACGACCGTGTGACCCACTTAACAGCTGCAGGGATTCACTGAACAACTGTGGCAAGAAAGGTCGTAAAATAGGACACAACTCACTTAACAAATGTCTCACTTAGCGACGGAAATGTTGGGCTCAATTTTGGCTGTAAGTCAAGGACTGCCTATATGCTATGAATGGATCTCAAATGGAGATATCTGTGGTGTGGCGAGTTTTTTTAACAACCATAAACACAATTGTTTAATGTCTGTTAAGCTTCTAGTCCTTGACTAAGTCAGTGACAAACGAAGAAAACATGGACGTCCAAGAATTCCTCTCAAGAATGATGAAGGAAAATATTTACTTTGTGCAAATATGTAAATGGAGACTCAATCATCCAGGCCAAAAGTATCTAAAAAAGATTAAATCACGACAACTGGATCAAAGTTTGTTAATCTGTGCAAATATTCCTGAGGTAAATTTGTAGCTATCGTAAGTTCCTCAAAAGATGGTGTATCTTTTGAGGAACTTACGATAGCTACAAATTTACCTCAGGAATATTATTGGCAACTGTGACCTTCAAAAAAAATTCTGTCAGTTGGAAGGAACTGTGATGTGCATTCGNTTCTGGAGGCAGGTTGTTCCATTGGTTAATTGTTCTAACTGTCAGGAAGTTTCTCCTTAGTTCTAAGTTGCTTCTCTCCTTGATCAGTTTCCACCCGTTGCTTCTCGTCCTGCCTTCAGGCGCCTTGGAGAATAGCTTGACTCCCTCTTCTTTGGGGCAGCCCCTGAGATATTGGAACACTGCTATCATGTCCCCCCTCATCTTTCTCTTCGTTAAACTAGACATACCCAATTCCAGCAACCGTTCCTTATATGTTTTAGCCTCCAGTCCCCTCATCATCTTTGTTGCTCTTCTCTGGACTCTTTCTAGAGTCTCAGCATCTTTTTTACATCGTGGTGACCAAAACTGGATGCAGTATTCCAAGTGTGGCCTTACTAAGGCCTTGTAAAGTGGTATTAATACTTCACGTGATCTTGATTCTATCCCTCTGTTAATGCAGCCCAGCACTGTCTTCTAGTCTGACCCCCTTCATGTTTTTGAAGAAGAGGAGAAATGAAGTTTAAAAAGCTCAAACACTGGTTTGGCCGCCATTTTGACTTCTTTACCTACACACTGAAGGCCCTCCTGAAGCCCAGGAAGACTTCGAAACAAAATGGTGGAGAGCTTGAGTTGAGGGGCTCTGCTTTTTCACAGCTAAGGGGACTTCTCACCTCAGCTTCCTCGAGAGCGGACTGCAGCTCCATCTTCTCAGCCTCCAGACCTTTCCGCGCTTTCTCAAGTTCATGGATGGTCTTGCCTGTGCTGCTGAGCTGCTCAGTGAGATCCGAAATCTCCTCTGTACGAAAAGAGAAGAAAACGTTGGTTCTCCAGAGGAAGCAGGACCTAGAGATGAGGAGGCTCCGAATGTGAAGGAGACGGGCCCACCTTGCAAGTTCTTGTTCTCCCTCTTGAAGGTCTCCAGATGTTCCAGAGATTCCTCGTAGGCGTTCTTCAGCTTGAAGAGCTCCGTGCTGAGGGACCGGGACTCCTTCTGGGATGCCTCCAGCTCTGTTTGGGACTCCTCAAACTTCTGCTTCCACTCCGACAAGATCTGGGGTGGGAGAAGGAGGAGGAGGAGGAGGAGGAGGAGGAGGAG